TCCAAGGACTACCCAGGGCTGACCCTGCTTAGCTTCCAAGATAAGACAGGATTTGTACACAATTAGAGAGCTATAATTCCCCATTAACTGCAATGGTTCCATCTATCAAATCCTGGGATTGGCAATTTAGGAAAGGGCATTTATAATTCTGAGCGCCAACATGGTGTCATGGTTTGAGCATTGGACTATGAATCTGGAGACCAGGATTCAAATCCCAGTTGGGCTATGTAAACCCACTGGGTGACCTTGGGCAAGTCTCTCAACCTCAGAGGATGGCAATGACAAACCCCCTCTGAAAAAACTTACCAAGAAAACCCCATGATAGATTCATTTTAGGGTCACCAGAAGTCAGAAATGTCTTGAAGGCACACAGCAACAAGAACGCAAAATTGATCATTCTCAGCCAGAGTACAGACTGTGTTGCCTCACCAAACTACAAACTCTAACATTCCACAAGTTGGAAATATGGCAGTTGAAGTAGAGGAATAGTGTTGTAAATCTGTAGTGTGCATGGGCCGCAGGTGAGGTTCCACACTTCCCAAGTGTGCAAACGGGGGGCATATATACACACATGTAAAAACAAAAGGAAAACAACACAGAGAGAATGGCTCTCACAATATGCAGAGACTGTCTGCTCATTCCGATCACTGTCCGGTTTATCCTCCTCAGCAGGCGCTCCATTATCAACTGGACATGAGCGGCCGTGGGGCCCTGAGGATACGAAACAAACACAAACTGTTCAGGCTGAATCTTGGCACAGCTGCTCTTGCAGGGATTTGCACTGCACAGAAGAAACCGACAGGGAACTAAGTTCTCAGAAAGCCTTTGGCCACAAGAGAAACGTCCTATATTTTTAAAAACTTGAAATTTGAAAATGAATCCCCTGCCCTAACCTGTGGAGCAAACTTGTAGAGCAAACTCTGTTCTGAAAAAGCTAAGCTTAACCACACAGTTACTCACAGGATGACTAGATGTCCTAACTACAAAGGAGGACAAGGGACTCCAAAATGTGGGGCATTCAAGGGAACATGGAGGACATTACCAAATACAGTGGGCCCTTTAGTTTCAGGGGTTTAGTTTCAGGACCCCAAAGTCCATGTATGCTCAAGTCCCATTAAATACAATAGGTATCCCTTAAATTAAATGGCATCCCTTAAATTAAATGGCAAAATCAAGCTTTGTTTTTTGGAATTTATATGTTTTTTGGGGGGATTTTTTCAAACCACGGATGCTTAAATCCATGGATAAAGAATACGGAGGGCCAATTGTAAAAGCTAAAAACACTCATATAAGTATAAATTCATGCTTCTTAGTCGTGTTCAAAATGGAGGACATTTTGGAATTCCACCTGGACAGAAGGTTGACATGTAGGACATGTGCAGGAAAAGGAAGACATCTGATCATTCTGATTTACTCACCACCTCCTTACAATCCAAAACCTCCAAAATATTGCTAAGGAGCTGTGAACAGGCTTCATGATCAGGCTTGCTGCAATTATCATCTAGCTGCCCACTTAACTGGTCTACAAGGAGAGGCAAGAGAACGTCTCGGCATTCTGGGAAGAAGCAGAAGAAAACGTAATGGTCAATTCACATATCAGGGTATGTGTGTTTAAAATTGTCAATTTATTAATTTACCACCCCATTCTCCTCCCAAAAAGCAGTGTTTACAAACAAAAAGAATGCTGCAAGCAACAATATTAATCCCACTCTATCCTTACTCTTAACTAACAATGAGAGCCAGTATGGTCTAGTGGTTTGAGTGTTTGACTATGATTCTCAAGACCAAGGTTCAAATCCCAGTTCAGCCATATAAACCCACTGGTCAAATCCCACTCTCTCAGCCTTAGAGGAAGGCACTGGCAAACCACCTTTGAACAAATCTTGCCAAGAAAACCCCATAATAGGGTTGCCCTAGGGTCAATTCAATTCAATTTATTATTACAGCCATTAGGCCAGTATAGTTGCCCTAGGGTCGCCATAAATCGGAAACAACTTGAAGGCACACAAC